AGGTTTTTTTTACAGAATACTTCATAATGTTTGGGGTTAATTTTGTTCATAGTCATGTACTGGAACTGACCTGGAAAGAAGAAATTTAATGTTGCCTCCTGATGTATGTTGACAATATGATATGTTCTAGTACAACCAATCCTAATATGTAATGTGGTGTTACCGTTTTTAAATACAAGATTACAGATTTTGGACAATCCAAGATTCTTGGAGAAACTTCTCTTATGAAAACATTATGTGGTACTCCCACGTATCTTGCTCCTGAGGTTCTAAATTCACTTGGGACTGCTGGATATGGCCGAGCTGTGGACTGCTGGAGTTTAGGAGTTATTCTTTTTGTATGGTAAGATATTGTGTAGATGCTACCTTCATTGGGCAGTCGTCGACATACATGGCTCGAAACTTGGCAACTTCACTATCTTTATTAGGCAGTAAAGTGTGTTTAAAACGATGAACGTGTAAAAGATGGTACAACAGCAGATGCTTTAAGATGTGTGATTTTAGTGTTTCATTCACTGTGACAAAATCTGTGTTATTTAACTGGTGTTCTTCTTTTATATAGCTTGTGTGGATATCCACCATTTAATGAGCAAAACACTCAGCTGTCTCTGAAAGATCAAATCACTCGTGGAGAATACACGTTCATTTCAAAAGAATGGAAGCATGTATCAGACATGGGTATGACTCCATTACAGTGGGTAGCAGAATATCTAGCTCTCTTCCTGTAGTTTTGTCTTCCTTTAACTTCCTTTCAGCTGTATGGCACATTGCATGTTGATATGTTTAGTTTTTAAAGTAGTCTTTTAATGTTTTTATTTTTTGTAAGTTCAAAGTTGAAGCATTAGAAAGAGCAGATGCATTTTCCCTGAAGGGTTTTCTTAGTAATATTTAGCTTTATTAACTACAGAAGTATAGATTTTGTGGGCACACATGTCTATTTTTTTTCTCTTTTCACTTTTTCTTCTGACTTTATCAAGGTGGTCTACAAACTTTGCCTTGCTCAAAGATTCTTCAGGAGTTGAACCAAAAATGCCAGGAATTTAAGGGATATGAGTTAGAATTCCAAGAGAGAAATGCTAAGAGTTATTTCATGGTGCTAGTCTTTGAGCTTAAAATGTCAGCCACATTTGTGGAGTCAACTATTAAGTTTGGCCCACTCTAAGCTAAGTAGTCTGCAGAACTATTTGGGTGTTTGCACAGCAAACTAAAATGATAGTTACTGTCTGCATGCTTTTCTTCTTCAGGACGTTTTACGTGGACAAAATAATTGTAGTATTTGCCTTGGATACCCCTTTGTATGTGCAGAGGAGTTTCTAATAAATGATATGATCATTCTTTTTCTTACCAAATACAACTTCTTTCTGAATTATTTGAAGCTTATTCAATCATAAGTCAGACATGTATGAGAATGGAAATTATGTTAGGGTCGTACATAGTCCTAATGGTATGTATAACAGAATAATCAGATACAATGAAAAGTAGATCTTGCCAAAATTCCTTTATGGGAGATGTGGAGTCGTGAAATATGACATATTTTTCATAGCGTCTATTAAGCAGTTTCCTAAGGAAATAAGGTTTATGTGATTGTGTTTGAGCATAGATGTGTATGTCTTGTCTCTGCTTTCGAATCTTCCCAGATGGATAATCTGCTTTCCAAGACAGCACAAACCAGGAAACTAAAATTAAGCTGTCTTTGCTTGTCCACAGTAATACTGAAGCTTTTAGGGAAGTGCTGAACTTCCTCTGCATGCTCAGAACATAAACCGTGGACGTGCTCGGTATATCTACTGGTAATTTTGGTATACTGAAATGTGTTGAATCATGTGCATGTGAAGGAAAAATGGTTACAGTCTGCAGCCCTCCCTCTGCATAGAAAAAAGAAGTGATCTGCCCAGCCAGTATTTTGGGGCATTGTTCTGAAGTGTTATAAGATGCATTGTTGCCCATAGCTTTGGTGTATGCATATTGCAGAACTTATTTTCAGGTAATGAATTTATAGCTCATATGCCAACCAACTCCTTTTATTATTTTAGCTCTGGATCTTGTGAAGAAGCTGTTAGTAGTTGATCCAAACAAACGTCTTACAACAGAGGAAGCCTTAGAGCATCCTTGGCTTCAGGTAGGAATTGAGTCTTAACTGAAGTACAGCAAAGCTGGATTGTTCCGGGGATAAATTCAAAGACATTTCAGTAGCCTGGATGTTATGAGGTTCTGTTGATACAGTCTGATTTGCTTCTACAAGGAAGCAGAGGAACACTTGACTACTGTGGTCACCAGAAATGTAACATGTGCCTGATCCTGCTTCTGTGGAGAGTACCATAGAAGAGATACAATGCTGGGCAATGAGAGCTCCAGTTCTTTAGCTTTGTGGGAATAACAGCTGTGGTCTTAAGTCAGAGCTTAAGTCTGCCTGTCCGTGGGTTGTCTCTGACAGTAGCCAGCAGAAGAGCAACTGTCATTTGGTGCTTCTCGTGGGCATCCCCTGCCACCTGCCTGCCAGCTGGCTATGCAGTTTCTGCTGGCTGCTGTAAGACCAGAGAGATCCTGCTGCCTATTTACAGAAAGAGAAGGGAGAAAAAAGGCCATATCTTTAAGAATTATTTGTTTGTCTTACTGGTGTTGTCAGTGACATGTGGGAAGAGGAGCTGTCAGATCCCAGCCTGAGGGATGACATTAGCCCAGATACTGTAGCCACTGCTCTGCTGTTGGATAACTCTAAACCAAACCCAGTGAGCATCTTGAACAGACAGCTTCCGTGTCTCTGTTGGAAGCAAGATGATCTTGCAGCACCTAGTTGCGTGTCAAAGCCTCTGTGGGATGGAGCCTTTGCTTTCTTGCAGCATAGAGAACAGAGTTGCATCTATGCTCTCCCAACAAGCAAATGCTGTCCTGCAGCACACAGACTTTCTTCTTTTCCTGTTCTCCTTGTCTTTTCCTCTTGCAATGGCAACTAGACCACCTGTTGTTTTTCAATGTGTTTATTTTCTTGGCCGCTGTCCTTGGCAAAGCCTTCATTAGCTCTTTCCCCTTCCTACTGCTGCTCTTGCAGCATGGTACGCTTTCTCGGTCCTTCAGTTCCATGGTCCTTTTCAACTGTTGTTGCTGCTATTTGTAGTCTTGTAGCCTTGCCTGATGCTGTTTGGTGCCTTTTCCCACCCTAAACACATCTTTGCTTAATTTCGCTTTTAATTTGACTTCTCCTTTGCCCTCCACCTTGTCATGTGGTCTCCATATGTAGGTTTTACCTTTCCACATCACACACTTTTCTACCAGAAAGAAAAAGGAATCAGTAACTTTTTCCTCTCTTCTCCAAAATGACCACACTATCCTTAGTTTTATGTCTGTTGCCTTTTCTTTTCATTGTCTGGATAATGCACCATTGTGGCTTAACTATCAAACAGCACTGCAGCTCACATGACTTCCTATACCCTCTCTGCAAGGCTGAGGGCGTTTCTCAGCCTTGACCAATTTGATTACCTCCTGATGTAGCCTGACTGATGCTAGAATGTGTCTTATGGTTAACTGTATCAGGATCCTTAGCAACAGCTGTAAGAACTTGTATAGGAGAGCTTCTTGTTCTCTTGGTCTCATGATCGTTATTACATCGTCATATAATAAAGGTGGCTCAAAGCAGCTTGGGTCCTTGCCAAGGAGTGTAATTCTCTCAGACTAAATATGTGTCATGGTTGATGCATCTTCAGTAACCTGTATTCAGGTAAGGGAGAAGGACTCTGATTCTATAATTTGTCCAGCTGGAAGAAGGCGCTTCACAGTTTGTATGTTCACTATTCTGTGGTTATCCCACAGATATTTGCCTCTGGATCATGTTTTATAGGCATTGTAGAGTACTGAAGAGTTCTGACAAGCTAAACTAGGTCCTGTTCCAGCCTATGACCTTTAGCCAAGTAGTGTGTCAGGACTTCTGCAGTCCTGTCATCTCTAACCTTTCCATCAAAACAGCTGTGTTTTCTTTGTGGGAGGAAGGTAAAATTGATTTTGATGTTAAGAGAATCAGACTTCGGTGGTCCCTGGTCTTTGCTCGGGAAGACTTGGAATAGGTAGAGCTGGCAGATATCTGCCTGGGTCAACACTGTAATTAGTGGTTGAGCACAAGTGATAGGTACAGTTCTTTCTACTTCGGTGCCATGCCATCCAGCAAATTGCAAGTCCGTTGCTCTATTTAATGCCAGCTTTTCTGTCACTAATTCTTTCCCACCAGCCAGTTGGCTTCTGCTGGAAGGTATGGTGCCAACTCAACAGCAGAGATTGACAGGCCTCTCATCTCTATTTTTGTTGAAGGATACTGGTATTAAGCTGCTTCTTTCCATACTGTGGTCCTGCTTCAACATGCTTTGTATGCCTCCATGACCTGCTCTGAATTTAATGGAAAATCCTGGATCTCTGGAATTTTTTCTCAGAAAGTAAAGCCCAGTCTGCATCTGTAGCTAGTCTGTGCTTTTGAATTTTTAGTCCCTGCAGAGAGGACTGCAACAAAAGCATGGAGTGGTCTGCTGAATACCTTCTTTCAATACAGCCAGCAGCTTCTGCATCCTTTCTGAGACACCTCTTCTCAGAACTCTTTAAGATCTAAGAATCAAGATGTGTTTTTTAGAGACCAAGTCTGATCGTCGTTCTGATAGGATGGACCTCCTCCTTTGAGCATTGTAACAGAGTCCCAGTTACTCATCTTGTTTGTGTGGGCAGGCAGTGCAGAATCCTGCAGAGTTTGTTTCTGGCAAGTGTCCAGGACTATGTTCTTACTATAATGAATATGAGTAAGTGTCACTGCTTTGGGAACCCTCAAAGTAGGAGGTGATGGTTTCCCTGCCTCCTGTTACAGTCTACTTAGGTTTGTGAGAGGTAGTCTTTAGGTAGTCTTTTATTAATTTTGGCACTCCAGAGGTGACCACTGGGCCTAAGCTTTCCTGGCTATTTCTTATTGAGACAGATGAAGAAAGTCGCCCAGCCTACCTCTGAGACACACAATGGGTTCTATTTACTCATGCCGAGCATAATGCTATTCATATTCCCACGCTGGGAACACTGTCTGGTTTCAGATGCTTAGGTAAAGAGCATAAGAAACGGGGTGGAAGCAAGGGGGTATCGCGTAGTGCTCAACAGCTGGCAGCTTCCTGGGACAGAAAATACATTTGGATGACTTTTTTTTGACTCGTTAACTTGT